TCACCCTCCGGGACTTTCAGTACCTATACTATAGGACATGTAGATCCCGTTGCCACTTTATTACAGCTGGCTGGACTGGCGACGGCGGAAAGAAATTTTTTCGAACCACTAACTGCCATTGAACTGACGAGTCAGCCACGTAACGTCCTAACTGGTTGCGCTAACGCCGCATCACTGGAGCTATGACAGATTTCTTATAGATCATCCATGTATAAACGTTGGCAAATATACACCAGTCCTTCACATGTGAATGCATTCGAAGCCCAGAGTCCATTATGTCGAAAGGTTTATAAAATAAATATCGAATCTGCATAATTTTACATTTTTGAAAGTCAATTCATAAATTCTCATCTATCGAATGTTGAATCTTGCCAGTCAAACTCCATGAGCCTATGACGCATCGTCTTTAAGTTTGTTCTAACGATAAGTGCTTTGACCAATAAAAATTTATAAAACAAAAATTTCTTTGGACAAGACCTAATGTTCACATTGTAAACTCTACCGTTGGCACTCTAGTGCCCAAATGATAGAGGAAGATAGTTGAGGATCACGGCAGCGACTCCGACCAACGTAAAATTAAACTGACCACCCCTGATGTTGTCGCCTACATCGAATCGTTTTACCTCGTTCTGATGCCACTGATGGTATCAGAGCACAACCGCGGCTACCAAAAACGGACAAAGCCTTTAACTGTTCTGAATGGACGAGGCAGCTAGCGTGATGAAAGTATAACAGGAATCATAAGCCTTCGCGAGAACAATGTTTTCAATGGGACCTTAGAGTCTCAAATTGGAGCGTCTCCTAACTAAGAGGAAAACAGGAATCAAACTGCGGAGTGCTAACTCGACACGGTCAGACTGCGTCAATGAAGCGACAATTCCTGAATTCTCAACCTCCGAGTAAGTAGTCCCTCATTTTATCGGACCAATTCATTGCGCACGCCGGAATAGACTCGAGATGTGAAACGGCGTGATTGGAAAAAGTGGCTCCAAAGTTCCTAATATCTAAAGTTTGTTTCACACTTATTTTGTAAAATACGGTTCCGTACTAGGAGATTCATTCAAAGGTTCCAGTCAATGACTGACATTATAGTATCCATTAATCTACTTTCTTTAACCTTTAATTTGAGCATTTCGTAATGAATTATGAGGCATTCTGAATTTTTCTTTTTAGTTGTGCAATTTTCAGTTGTATTTTAAATAGTTACCTTGAACTCTTCGCATAAGCACGGCACGTTTGTGATTTGCTTCATTTTGTCAGCTTTAGAATAGTTTAGCTATAAGCATCGATTGCTGTATCGTATAGACAGATATTCCTTTCTGAAAAATACCTACCCCTCTCTTGTTCCTCCATGTTTTATGCTGGCCACCGGGCTTCCCTCTGCCGTTCTTCTTCTCCCACGCTAGAAACTGGAATAAATGATCAATACTCCGCAGGTTTCTCTTACAAGTGAACTGACGTTTTAATCTCCACAACTTCTAGGGTATGGCAATTATTTGTATATGTTATGGGCTTATTTTTGTTTTCGTTGTCCGATTGTCTCGTCGATTTTCTGGCCATTTGTTAGTTGTGTTCTGATCTTTTCCTGAATGACGAAAGATGTTGCACCTGTCTTCTCATAGTTCCGCATTTCTCATGGGAGTTTATTTTCACAAATGACCTATTCTTCTGTTATA